TGTTCATCATGATGAGCGTAGTAGGAGGTCTCATTATTTGGCTGATCGAAAACTACTCTTCATCTCGTAATAAATTCATGACTGTACAGTACGTCGATGCTTGGTTTGTTACTAGTACGTGTATATTTAGCTGTGGTTTGACTACAATGGACTTTGCAAAACTATCACGCGCTACACAGATCATTCTTATGGGATTTACATTTGTATCCGGTATAACTATAAGTACATTGCCAGCGTTGGTTATTAAAACTCAAACTCATAAAAGCCCTCAGGGTACCACAGTTGATGACGACCATGATGAGACACATGACGAAAATAATGAAGAGTTACCTATATCGAATTTTCGAGAGCAACGCAATTTACCGGAACATGTTCGTGCTCAACTAGCATCTTTGCCTACACCAGCCAAACTTCGTTATCGTGCATATATCATGTGTATTCTCCTCATCCTTGGTACTTGTTTCACAATCTACACATCTGCTTATTTTGCCATCGGTGGAAGAATTCATAGACGCTATAAGCCTGAAGATTTACTGCAAGGTAATACTAGTGTTAATCCGTGGTATGTTTCATTTATCGTTACCGTTACCGGTTTCAATCAAAATGGTTTGTCACCATTTTCCGACGGTCTCTCACGCTTTGTCAATGATGTTTATCTCAACGTGTTCGTAATGCTGGTAAGATGCATTTCATATGTTTACCATTGCGTTTTTTCTTATATACTTGTCATCTTTAGTTAGTGATGAGTGGTACATCGTTTTTTCCTGTCATTTTACGTCATGTTGTATTTCTATCACGTATATTGGCTCCGTGGCGTCATAAAGTGATTTTCGATTATATTCTTTTGAATAATCATCGTTTGTCTACACTCCTATTTCCTACTCTACAAACTCGAATATATCTTTTGATCACAACGATCTTGTATATACTTGGTGTGACCATTTCGCTCATACTCGATTTCCATAGCAAGGTGGTGGCGCAATATACACCTGGTGAACGCTTTCTTATTTTTCTCTTTCAAACCATTAATACTCGTTTTGCCGGCTTTCAAACTGTAGACATTAGTTCCTTTGCGATTGCAACATTGCTTGTTTATCTATTATTGATGGCCACGAAACCACAAATGTTGTGTGGATTAGATGAATTACCCTTCGAAATATATTGGCTCACCTTAGAAGCACAAGAAGAAGGAAACACCGAAGCAAAATCGGATCAAAACTTTGCCAGGCGACTTTCATCTACAGATAATCGTAGGCTATCTATAGCAGCAGGGATAAGTACTGATACTTTACCTCTGAAGACAATGAAACAATTCTTACGTCGACATAGTTTATCCACTAAAAACCTTGCACGAAAAGAATTCTCTCAACACATCATCGATAGCAAAAGCAGCCACAAACGATCAAAGCGTCTAGCTGTCCTACGTATTCGTCTGTTTTTCATTCATTTTCTACGATCTTTGATTAAGCATTCCGTCAGCTTTTTCATTTTAACTCGTACTTGGTTGTTTGTCTTTATATTTCTTATATGTGCTATTGAATATCGTCGAATGGCACCCGTAGATCCAAATATCACCTTACTGAAGATTATCTTTGAAATTATATCTGCATTTGGAACTGTTGGTTTGACACTCGGCTATCCAAATGTAGCATCCAGCTTCGGTACTGTTCTATCACCAGCTAGTAAGGTGATTCTCGGCATAACTATGCTGATGGGTCGACATCGAGGTTTGCTCGCATCGATGAAAGATCAAGAAGTGATTGAGTACAGTGCTGTTAATGTGCTCGCTCGTCGACGTGAAGAACTTATTCTTCAATTCGATCGTTCAAGAGAGGCTCGAGAATCAATTGTGCAAGGATTAGATTCTTCGAGTGATATAGTAATTGAACGATTCTAATAGATGACAAGAGTCTTAAATATAATTCATTTCATCTCAATAAAAATTTATTCGGCTTCGCTTACTAGAATTCACATATATACGAGCAATATCTACCATAGGGTGATGTTCAGATGAAGCATGCCAGAGAAAAGTTCTTCATTAATAAAGCATGATTTGATAAGTTCTGATTTGATAAACTAAAACAATTTCTCAACAATGTAAAGAATTTACTGATTTTAATGTACAACCCGTGATTGTTTAGATATGTTGGTTGCTGCGCACTATTAATAAAGTACTCCCAATTAGCACTCGTTGCGGTGAAAGACCACTGTGAGATAAAGCCTAGTATTCAGAGGGTGCTGAATCGCTCGTTATGTAACTATATCACTTACTCAGGCACTGCTTGTAAAGACTTCTCTCGCTTCCCCTCTCTATCAATACTACAAACATTTGTGAAAACCTTCGACTTAAACATAAACTCACTATTTTCTTCGAAAATATATGTGAGTTCCACAGAAGAGCGATCGGATCTCTCTTTTAGCATGCTGTGAGCAAGATTTATTATGAAAATGTATGAAAGTACACAAAAATATCAACTCAAAAGCTTCTATCAAAAAAGCTATTATCATAATTC